CTCACTTGTGATAAAGAGTGTAAAACATTTTTTCTTGCTTAAAATTACTATAAAAGAAAAATTTTTAACAAAACGGATGTGATCAGAAGAGAGTTATATTAGTATATATTTTTAATTTTTTAAAGTTTTGTAATAGATATAAATAAGATATAAAGAACTTGTAAATATTAAAAATAAAATAAAAAAGTTATAATATATAAAAGTTTTTTTTATTTTTAGATAATAATAATTATTTATATTTATATATTTTAAAACATACTATATTTATATTATAATTTTTTAAATTTTTTTATTTTTAAATTAAAAAACATTTTTTTTGAATAATTATAACTGTATTATATAAGAATTAAAAAAAAATTTAATATAAAATATTTAAATTTTTCTTTAAAATCAAGAATTAAATTTTTATCAAAAATTTATATAAAGATTCAATTTAAAAACATAAAATTTTGTTGAAATAAAATTTAGTAAAATATTTTTTTAAAAAAAACAATATAAAACAATTTGTTTAAAGACATATTAAAAATTTAATTTGATAATAAATCTTCGATTAAAAATATATAAAAAAAATAACAATGAAAATAAAAAATCAAAGAATAAGAAAAAGAATAAATAACATTTTCAATATAATTTAAAAATTTGATCACATTCAAACATTAATTCTATATTTCGAGAGATTGAAGTGCAGTACTTTATCAATAAACTTTTGAGAAAATAGTTTGATTGTTAAAAATATTTTTGAGTAATTGTATTATTAATGTTTTTATATGCTAGTTTAGATATACTAAATTACTGTAGTAGAAGAGTAAAAAAATTATATATTAAGATCACATAATGTTCTCACTCAATTAGATATAATTGGGACTTAAGGAATTTTTAAAATTTTTGAGATTTTTGAGATTTTTAGGATTTTTCTTATATGTATAAAAAAGAGAGAAATGTATTGAGAGAAAAAAACAATAAATACTCAGCTCGTTATCTAACACCTTCACTTACCTCATACCACATCCAAACGCGATCGGCAATCACGACGTAGCAACAGACTCGCTGATTATACCCACACTGTATTGATCAGCTATTTGTACAACGTTCAATTTTTTTCTTTCGGATGCTGTAGGTGGCAAATAGCGTGTGTAACTTGATAGAAAATTTTTCACAGATGATGAAGGGTTTATATGACCTCCGGTTAACATATCTTAATCAACATTCCCTATTCTTAAGATATGTCGCTTGTAAGTGTATGTAATATGAGTTATGCAATTGATTTGTAGTTAAATTATTATACTAACGCATAACATTTTTTACAAGGTTGTTTATTGTTATACTCCAATTGATGTATTTACTTATAATAGGCACAGATTTAATGGGGAATGTGCACAATGTAGGAGATATAATACTTCAAAATCATGGTATTAGTTGTATGATTCTTCTAAAACTACTCAAGGATGAACTAGTGGAAATAACGATGTAGATGATTGCATTAAAGAATTTCAGCTTGAAGCTATTGAATATGAAGACGTAATTGAGTGGATTTCATTCAATAGGTTATCTGAATTTTGAATCATTAGAGAAACAGAATTTCAGGCATTATGGTTAGACGAAATACAGAATATTAAAAATAATGCGCAATCACGCACATTATCATGTTCAGTCGAACTTAAGAAATTTGATAGTTTACAAGTCGATACATTAGAATTTATAAGAAATGTAAGTTATATATTATTTCGTGGTTTATTTAGTAGACAATACACTCATTTTTATATTTATTTACAAGTTTAAAGATTCTATCCAATCAAAGGACAGTAATAATAAAATATACGGATAACCCGGAGTATAACTGGTCAATGCATGATTGTGTGTGATGATTTTTATTATAGGAGATATATGATACATGGAGAATGTGCACAATGCGAGAGATATAATACTTCAGAAGCATGGTGTCAGTCGTGTGATCCTTTTAAAACTACTCAAGGATGGACTAGTGGAAATAGTGAAGTCGATGGTTGCATTAAAGAATTTCAACTTAAAGCTACTGAATATGATAATATAATTGAATGGATTTCATTTGATAGGTTGTCCAACTTGCAAAAAATTGGAGAATCAAAATTTCAGGCATTATGGTCAGATGGAATACGAAAGGTCAAAAATAATACACAATCACGTACATTATCATGTTCAGTCAAACTTAAGAAATGTGGTGGTTTACAAGTTGATGCATTGGAATTTATAAGATATGTAAGTTATATATTATTTCGTGGTTTATTTAGAAGACAACACACTTATATTTATTATTTATTTTACAAGTTTAAAAATTGTATCCAATCAAAGGATAGTAAACATAAAATATACGGAATAACTCAAGATACAACTGGTCAATATATGATTGTATTTGATGATTTTTATTCTAGAAGGAGTCGTGCACATGGAAAATGTTCACAATGCGAGAGATATAATACTTCAACAGCATGGTGTCAGTCATGTGATACTTATAAAATTACTCAAGGATGGACTAGTGGAAATAAATATATCGATAAATGCATTACAGAATTTCAGCTTAAAACTACTGAATATGAAGACGTAATTGAGTGGATTCCATTCAATAGGTTATCCGAATTTCGAAACATTGGAGAAACAGAATTTCAGGCATTATGGTTAGATGGAGTACGGAATATTAAAAATAGTACACAATCACGTACGTTATCTTGTTTAGTCGAACTTAAGAAATTTGACAGTTTACAAGTTGATACATTAGAATTTATAAGAAATGTAAGTTACATATTATTTCGTGATTTATTTAGTAGACAACACACTTATTTTTTATAATTTATTTTATAAGTTTAAAAATTGTATTCAATCAAAGGATAGTAAACATAAAGTATGCGGAATAACCCGGGATATAACTGGCCAATATATGATTGTATATGATGATTTTTATTCTCTAAGGTATATGATATATGAAGAACGTGCACAATGCAAGAGATATAATACTTCAAAAGCCTGGTGTCAGTCATGTGATCCTTTTAAAACTACTCAAGGATGGACTAGTGGAAATAATGAAATTGATTATTGCATTAAAGAATTTCAACTTAAGGCTACTGAATATGAGAATATAATTGAATGGATTTCGTTTGATAGGTTGTCTAACTTGCAAAAAATTGGAGAATCAAAATTTCAGGCATTATGGTCAGATGGAATACGAAATGTTAAAGATAATAAGCAGTCGCGTATACTCCCATATGCAGTCGAACTACGGACATTTGGATCTTAACTTACTACATCAGAGTTTATAGAAAAAGTAAGTCATATACTTTTTTTGCTGTTAATTTAATAGCATGATACATTAACGTTATTTTATTTATTTTATAAGCTTAAAAAACATATAAAATTAAAGGATAATAAACATAAAGTGCATGGAATAACTCAAGATACGACAACTGGTCAATATATGATTGCATTTGATGATTTTCATTACATAAGAAATAAATTATATAGCAAATGTGCTCAATGCAATCGTTATAACACTTCATTTTCCTGGTGTCAACCATGTGATCCTTTTAAAATAACTAAAGGATGGACTAGTGGAAATAAAGATATCGATGGTTGCATTAAAGAATTTCAGCTTAATGCTATTAGACATGAAGATGTTATTGAGTGGATTCCTTTTAATAGATTAATTAATTTGCGCAAGATTAGAGAGACAAGATTTATTGCAATATGGCTAGATGGAATACGAAAGGTCGAAAATAATGCAAAATCACGTTCGTCTATAGTAGAACTTAAGGAATTAGACAATCATCAAACAAGCGCATTAGATTTTATAAGAAAAGTAAGTTATTTACATTCTTATATGGTTTACTGGATACGAATAACACATTTGTCTATTTACAGTTTAAGAACCAGAATAAAAAACATAAAGTATATGGGATAACTCAAGGTACCTCAGCACAATATATGGTTGTAGTTAGTTTTAATTTTACAGGAGAAGCAAGGTACGGAGCATGCAGATGGAGTGAACATTATAATACTTCAAGAGCATGGTGCCAATTATGTGATCCTTTTATAATAACTCAAGAATGGACAAGCGAAAGTACCGATATTGACAATTGCATTAAGGAGTTTCAATCTATAGCTACCGAGTATGATGAAGTGATAGAATGGATTCCTTTTAATAGATTGAGTAATATACGAGAGATCGGAAAAGGGAGATTTGGATGCATTTATTCCGCAATCTGGTTAGACGGAAAACGAAAAATCCTAAATAACAACAATGAATTTATACAATCACGTACAGAACCTTATACCGTCGCACTTAAAACCTTACCCGGTTCTCCAACAAGTTCTGCTGATTTTTTAAGAGAAGTAAGTTTAATATTGGTTTTAAGATGTTTTATATTAACTAATGATAATATAATAAATTTTCTTTATAAGTTTAAAAGCCATATGCAATGTAGGTTAATGGGTAGTAGCCTAGAAGTATATGGGTTAACGAAAAATACAACTACAAATCAACATATGATGGTTCTTCAATATGCCAATAATGGTAATCTTCGTTGTTATTTAAAATCGAGTTTTAAAGAATTTATTTGGAAAGATAAATTGTCGCGACTGATAGATATATCAAAGGATTTAATTCAAATTCATGAAGCTGGATACATTCATTGTGATTTACATAGTGGAAATATTGTATTACATAAAGAGGGCTTGAGAAAGCAAAATCATATAGATCTTGGATTATCCCGAAAAAAAAAAGAATCTAAAAATAAGAAAGGAATTTACGGAGTAATGCCCTATATTGCACCTGAAATTTTATTAGGCGAAAATTACACGCAAGCATCAGATGTGTATAGTTTTGGTGTTATTATGGTAGAAATAACTATTGGAACGCCTCCATTTGATGGTTATATAATTAATAACTATCTTGCATTAGACATTTGCAACGGATTGCGGCCAAATTTTGCTCAAGGAACTCCCGATTTCTATGTCGATTTTGCAAAACTATGCATGAATTCTGATCCACAAGAACGGCCTACAGCTAAATATATTTTTTACCAGCTTGAAGAATGGTATAATTTTATGGATGAAGATAATGAAAGTGAAATGGAGCTTGAATTTGATGAAGTAGAAATAAGTAATAAATTTTGGGAATCTGATGAAATAGTTAAGCAGCTACCCGTAACTTTGCAGAAACATCAAGATGTCACATATACAAGTCAATTTATTGATACTTATGATATTTCTCAACGATTCAGCAAATTAGTTAAAAGCGTTAATCTTTCTCAGCGGCATGATGAATCAGTTAATATTAGCACAACGGGTAAGGTTTATTATTTTAATATATATTAGATAATATTTATTAACCGATATATTATCTTTAATAATAGATTCTACTGCAAATAATTTGAGGATAATGTCGTAATTGGGGGGAAAAAACTTGATATTAAACACATTACGATTTGATATACAGTACGCTAGTTGACTCTGAAAGCTTTTTTTGTTTTTATTTTACAAATTTTAATTTTATTTATATTGTAATTTCTGTGAATAGCTTGTCATTTCTGTTATAATTTTAAAGTTAACAATAAGTTTACATCTACCATTGAGCCAAATTATCTAATTTAAATACTAAATGCGTATATAAAGCATATTTTATTTATTAATTATCATAACTTTTAACATAAAATTATATCTAGTTAAAATTGAATCATTTTATTTATTTTCAATAGAACCTTTTATTACCTTACAAAATAAAGACAAATCAATAAAACCAGGTTGTAAATGTCCAATTACAATACATTGTTTATTAAAAATGATTTAAAATTTTAATTATTTAAGATATAACTATTTATAAAAAATTGTGATAAATGATTTAATAAAAATTTATAAAATTTAAGGTATGGATTATCTTGATTGAGGCATTACTATACTCTTATGATATATAAACCTTTATTATATTCCTATTATATATTTGAATTAATATTTAATATTTAAGTTTTATAAATAATATTCTCTATAATAATAAACACATTAGCTATAAACATCTTTAATAATATCAAGTTTATATAAAACTTGAATTTTTAATTTTATTTTGTAGTTATTTTTGTTAATTTTTTATAGGACTCTGAAAAATAACTTATTTTTTGATTAATATAGACCTAAATAGACTTGTATAATATAAATAATATTGTAAAATTCGATGAAAATATAATTTATTATAAAAAAAATATTTGAAAAAAAACTCTAAAGCCAATTTAACTTGGTTTGTTAAGAGCTTTAATTTTTTATAAATTAATTAAAAATATACAATATTTATATTTATTGAAGGTGCAAATGGTTATTATACATTATTAATTTATTGTGCTTTTATTTACAAAATAAAATACAATATCTATAACACAACATAAATATCTTTTTACTAAAAGAGTTTAATACAAGGTTTTATAAAATAACTATATTCTGTGCTTCTTGATACCATTCAAGAAATATTGAAAAAAATATTTTATTATCTTAAACAGTATCTAATTATCTAGAAAAAATAAATATTTAATTATATGAAAGCATTGTAACCAATTTATACAGATTGGTCTTCAAGTTATAATTAGAATTAATATGATATACAATAAACAAAATAATATTGGAAATAATAAATAATAAATATCTTTTTGTATAAAAGCAATACAACTACTTTATATAGGTTTGCTTTCAAATTATAAAAAGAATTTGATATATTTATGCTTTAAATATAATAAAGATGTTTCATAGATGGAGTTTATATTGAATTTTTTAATGATATCAGAATCTAACCTTGCATAATAAATTTATATTGTTTAAGAGATAAGTAAAAAACTATTGTTATTATTGTTAGCTTATTTATAAGAATAATTAAAATCCTTGATTATTATATATTACTTTATTAAATTCTTCAATTATTAATAGAACATTTGCAACTAATTTAAAATATTATTAATTATATTGATATTAATTGTTATATTAATTTGAATATTGTGAAATATAACTTTTTGATTATTTTTGGATAATATTAGTTGTACAAAAGTTTTTTGAATATATTTAATTTAATTATCAATTAGTAAACAATATTAAATTTGAAAATAATAATCATCAATTTTTTAAAAAAGTAAACCATTTGTTATTTTTTGAGAAAGCTATAAAAAAGAAAAAAATTTCAAAGTTCATATCTTAAGAAATGATATTATTTTTTAATATAGTTTTTAAGAAAAGAAAATTAACTGGTCAAAAAAATAATATTATGAAGAACAAAGTTTTTTAAAAAAAGAATTATCTAAAAAAAAATTATTAAAAAGAAAAAAAAAATTCAACTTTAGCAAAAAAGAAAAAAAAAAAGAAAAAAAAATATAAAGTATAAAAGAGTATATAAAAAAAGATAAATATATAGAAGAAAAATATAAAATATAAAAAAGAAAAATAGATAAAAAGATAAAAATAAAAAAAAAATAACTTCAAAATTTTAATTTTTAAATATAGAAGAGAAAAGTAGAAAAAAATTTTGTTAAAATTATCTACAATATATTTTTTAATATAAAAAAATTAATAATAATAATAATAATTAATAAAATATATAAGATTTAAAAAAAACCTTTTTAATTTTTACATTATATATAATTGGTTTATTATTAAAAACATTATATATAATAATATTTTAATTTATAAAATAAAAATTTTTTAAAAAAATATTTATCTGTTTACTATTGATTTTTTAAAAAAATCATTTTTTCTTTCTAATATATTAATTAATTCAAAAACTAAAGACTAAAAATTATTTTATATTAAAATAGAATTTCTAAAGTCTTATATGCTTTTTAATTGTATAAATAAGAATTATTAGCAAAATAAATAGAGTGATATGTATTGATTAATAACACCCAAAATACATATTGATAATAATTTCTCTTGCTGATTATTATTGATTATAATAAAAATCAATATGTATTGAAATTTATTGAATTTGATTTATAATTTAAAAAAATCAATTTATATTAAAATTTATTGATTTGTTTTAAAATTAACATTTCGATAAATAATGAATTATTTATAGTTTTAATACATGTCATAAATCTTGTTTTATATATAATAATTAAAATTAAACAATTTGTTTTTATTAAAGTAAATTAATTTGATTTTGTATTTTTACAAATTATTACATTTATTTCTAATTTAATTTCTATTATCTTCATAAACACCAAATAACACATCTTGTTCTTCTTATAAAAGTATTATTATATATTAGATTATATTAAAAAAAATTATTATATTTTAATCGATTACTTATAAGAAATTTTCTATATGACATTTCATTCACTTTTTAGAACAAATGATACTCTTAGATCAAGGATTCAAAAAAATATTACATACAGCAAGAATAAATGTACAATGTTCATTGCTTAAAGTAAAAACTGATGTTTTTGAAAATGTTGCTCTTGCAATCGAAGTTACCCAATATATTCCATTACTATTCAATTAAAAAAGTAAACGATAGCATTCAAACACTTCTATAAACTTTTTCCATGTCATGATAGCAACTAATATAGTGTTGCTTCTTTAAAATAGTAATTGTTTTAAACCAAAGACTTGTTACATTGCAGTTCTAATGTTTTGTAATATCACATCACAAAAATTTTTTATTTTTGCTAGAAGCTTTTGTTTAATTAAATTTGAATTAGTTTAAAAATAATTAAAGACAATCAAATTATTTTATTTATACTTATCATGCTACACTATTTATTATGAAATAAATTTGTAAATTAATTGGAGTTTAAATTGGACATATATTTGAAGAAGTTTGCCTTGAGATATTAATGCAGAGCATTCTTCAAAATAATTTAATCTGAATAAATATAGCTCAAAAACAATTGTTTTATAATATTTAAACATATTCCCTAAATTATTTAAAAATATAAATTAAATAGATTTTGCTATAAATTTTATTAATTAAAATATTTACATCTATAACCTATAGATAGGGATAGCAACAGATCAAATCAGATCGTATTTTAGCTAAATTTAATTTGATTCATTTTTAGATGTACAATTCAAATTCGAATCGGATATAATATAGCTTGATTTGATTTCAAATTTGATTCAAATTTAATTTTACTTGATTTGATTCATATTCAATTCAATTATTTTGTTAATAGTAATTTTTATTATAATATATTTACTTTAATTTAATTTAAAAGATTATTAATTAAAAAATTTTTATTTTTAAATATAAATTAAAATTACTGATCTATCCATGATTGGTTATTATCTTCTATATTTATATATATCCCTTCATAATTAGTATCATTTTTTCACTATTTTTTTTTATCAAATTTTCAAGAGCTTACAAAGCATAAGAATCTGTTGATAATTGATTATGTCAATAATCAACACAATATTTTTCTTCTTTTCCTTCCCTCCATTTTTTTACAGCTATTACTGTTTTTTTGACTAAATTTTGTGATAGTCCACAAGTTACACCTCTATCGGCAAGACTATAGTGCCATGCAATTTATCTTCTGGCCAGCAGTAAAGAGTATTTTCTAAAAAAATATTAAAAATTTAAATTAACAATACTTTAAATTTTTTTTAAAAAATATATGTTATTTCTACTTTAATTCCTCATTTGATTAAATAAAAATTCCCACCATTGAAATCTTCTTCCTGACAATTGAATTCACTATTATTGGCAGGTTATATTTCTCTCAAACAGGTTGTTGCAATCACATGTTCTAAAAAATTAGTATCAGTATATGCAAACTTACCATATCTCCAGGCTACATAGGTCTCACAAAAACCTAAAGAATAGTTTAAAAAAATTTTTTTGCCATTGCAAGAAATCGTAATTTCTTTATCAACAGCATTATACTGGTTACTATCCAATTGGTGAAAATCAAATTTTTTGATTTTTTTTTGGATACTTGAAGTTACATCCTTGGGAAATATATTTATAGCATAGTTAAAAAGAAAGCTGTTTATTGTTACAATATTTTCTTCTTGCAAATATTGTCTTTCAGATTCTTGCAATTCAACAGGTATGTTGTGGACATATATAAAAATTTCATTTTCTTTTGTCGAAAGGTATCTGCAAGTATTTATATGTTAATAAAATTTAAAAAATCAAAAATAAATTTATTTAATACAACATACTCTGCTACTGTTAAAGTATCTTGATTCAGTTTTTTTATTTCAGATGATCGGGCAACTTGTTGTCGTAAAACAAACATATTGGCAATTATATTTCTTATAAGTTCAAGTACATCAGGGCCAATTCAGTTTTAGTATACAACAAGTATTACTTTATTTGAGGTCTTGTTATGAACTATTATTTCTTTATTTTTTTTTATCATTCTTACAATACAAGAGGCAGTATCAATTGCAGGTATATGAGGAG